TGGAATCTAATTTCTAACTCTGAGGAGGATATTACATTTCTTGTGCACTTTCTGCATTTAAAAAAACTTCTTTCTAAATCTATCCTGTGTTTGTCTGTTGGTATCTACAGATGAGATTTTGGCTGTCTTTAAAAAAATTATGAGACTGATTAACAGGCACATTAAGAGGGATGCCTATGAAGAGATATTAATATGTATTCAATTTAGTATTTTTTTTTCTATTTGCATGGTATCACTTATGGTTCAGGTTTTCAATTGACATGTGTTTCCAGGCCTTTTTATTGGCATCCAGTTACAAATGAAGAGCTGGAGAATGCATGAAATTTCCCCTTGAGTTAGAATGAAGATACATATTTTAGCAGGCCTTTTTATTGGCATCCAGTTACAAATGAAGAGCTGGAGAATGCATGCAATTTCCCCTTGAGTCCTATTTGGAGTTAGAATGAAGATACATATTTTAATTGCAGAAATGCATTTCTGATGTTAAAACAGGGAACTCTCTGTGGTGGGGCCCCATTAAGGTCCCTTTCTATTATTTTAATTCTTGGTTTAGCTTTATTGTAGATTCGTGTTTTTTATAATGAGTGTGTTTGTGCACGAGTTAGATATGTCAACTTCTCATTTATTGCGATGCCTTAAATAGAGGGGAGAACTTGGAGGGGAGTGAGCCAGAACCCCTGCTCTTGAGAATGGGTAGAGCTGTTGTTGTAGCAGAGGATTTGCTGCAGTGTCAAAGTGCAGGAACTGGGTTTAGAGCAGGAGTGAAAAGGTAGTACATGGAACTCAGCCAGAGGAAGGCAATACAGTTTTACATGAGGTACGTGTACAAAGCCTCTTTGCATTGAAAATGGCTGTGTTAAAACATAAAAGGAGAAAAACAGAAGACTAAAGGAATTTATTTCAAGTAGCTGGAATGTAGGTCTTGAAGGTCCATAGGGCTATGTCCTCATCGTAACTTAGATTTGTGAAAACTTGGTTGGACCTGCATCCACAGCTTTGGCTTGGCCTTTCCTTTGGCTGGTTCCTCACCTGGTGCTGAACAGTCAGCAGTTAGCTGGTGACACTCCTTGCTGCCTGCCCTTAGATTTATTTCTGTAGCTGCAGTGTTGCTGGAGGGATGCTTACAAATTTAGAGGTGGAAATGTTTCTTTGGATTGTCTTTGGCTTTAATGATGCTCCTTCATCTCCCATAAATGCCAAGATAAGTATGCTGACAGCCAAGACATGCTTGGCATAGTTACTGTAGAGTTAGCTCAGTAAGGGTTCTGGAAGACTTCTGGGAGCTTACTGCAGCAGGATCCAAGAAGGGAACAAAGAGGGGCTGGAGCCATCAGTCCTGCATGCAGTCATCCCCATCAAGATGATGTCCCCTAATGACAGGTAGCTAGTGGCAGATGTAATTCATGGAAGAAAAGAATTAGTGAAGAAAACCAGCCTGTGAGTGCAAATGCATTCATCTTCCAAGAAATTATTACCAGGAAGAAGTCACTACTGATCCAAACTGTCTCCATTACTGAGTTTATAAACACTTTTGGTAAATAAGAGGTTAATAACTCTGTTTATAGTAAGAAAAGACCCCTGCCCCAGGATACACACACTTCACTGTACCCAGATAATCCCTGGAGCAAGGAGGTTTAAGGTAATTTGTGGTGCAGCTGTCCTTTCCTGGAACATGAGCAAATTCTCCTGCACATGGTCAGCTGCAAGAACAAATGTCTATAGCAAATGAAAAAACAAGATGTTCAACCGCAGCCTTCTGCACTTCCAAGAGGGGCACGTGAGCCGGGCTGTTCCTCCTGCCGGAATCAAACTCCACAGCACGAAAGGGTTTAGCCTGCGGCTTACGGCCAAGTGGGAGCAACGTGTCAGCGGTGAGGGAGGAATGCTGGTGATGGAAACCCAACTGATTGACATACAGTGGCCATAAAGTCATAGTAAATCCATTGTTTTGCCAGAAGGAAGCAGGATTAGAAGATGTATAATCGTTACAATCCCTGCACTATACAGCATCAAGTGACGGTTGCTCTCCCGGTGCTGGTGTGGCTCATACTTGCCTTAATCCCAGTGAAGTCTGTACTTAGGTGAAATCTTCTTATGCTCCATGTGGTTCAAGCCATGGCCATTCCTGTGTTTTAGCCAAGAAATGCCTCTATGGCACTGCAGAATTTTAGCTCAGTATTTCCAAGGAGATGCTTTCTCTGTTGTGTTGCTGCAGACACCCCCACACTGCAAGTGGCAGATTTAAAAATTGCAGTCTGGGAACTCATTCCCAACAGAACTGTTAATAAAAATGTAGCTAATCAAGAGAAGAAGAATCCAGTTCTCTGGAACAGCTATCTTTTATCTAAAAAGAAGTGAAAGTAAAAAGAGATAAGAATGTCACTAATAGCTAGAGACCAAACTTGCTCCTGATCAAGCTGAGCTGAAGGAAAAGTTGCATTTTTCAGAAGCTTGAGTGGCCTGAAGAAGGTTGAGGGGTAAATGGTCTATGCAGCCACACCTTCAATTCCTTACTAACTGACAGACAAAACAATGGAGATACCCATTTTTTTGACACCTCTTAGGAGATGACGCCTCTTTTACACCTATTTGACATCTATTTGCTGCATTTTTTTGACACCTCTTAAGAGATGCAAAACTTCTGTATTTGTATTATATGTTGCCCTAAATATAAGGGTTTAAATTGCTGCCTTTTCACTTGCCTTGCTGGATGAACTGTGAGTCTGATTGACTCTCTGTGCACAGGATGTGCGCCAGTTACAGAGATCTACATCAGCACAAATCTCAGTTCTTCCTCCCAAGCAGACACAGTAGAGAGAAACCCTCAAAAAATTTCCTACTAAGTCTCTAAAATAGTTTCAGAGGGTTTTTTTGAGATGAGTGAAAACGTTTGGTGAAATATTGGAGTAGGTGCATGATGGATATAACAGAAGTTGATGCTTCTCACAGCAGTGTGCTCTGTCTGTGTTGCCATACGGGGTTTGACCTGATGATGACTTCTTGCTGCTGCATGTACTGATGTTGTTTTGATGGTGTCTTTATATTGTAACACAGTGTCTTTTGTAAATGAACTGTGGCCTGTTTTCTTTCTGAATGCTGGTGATATTAAGAGGATGGAACAGGTCTCTACGTGCACTACTGTATGGGATGGGAGAAGATCTGTCTGATACCTGCCAGAGAACAATGGAAAGTCCATACTGGTTGATGTCTGGGTTTTTCTTACTCTTGATGCTCAAGAACAGCAAGTGTTCTTTGTTTGTAGGGAGATGCAGACTGCATGAGAGGATGTGAAGTGGTTCCCCTATTAGTGTCCATAATAGAGGGGGTAGGAAAATTCTAATTCCTTTCTGTTTTACACTTTACTCAGAGCTGAGATACCTGTGGAAAGGGCATTTGCTACCTAAGGACTGCACCTGCACTGAAGTACTACCTGATGTGGGATTGGGAATGTGCTACTGGAATACAGCCTGCAGCTGCCCAGAGACTGTCTGACAATGGTGATTCATCTTTTTTTGCTAAAAAAAGTGGAGGAGTTTGACAGGCTTTAGACTAAAATAGTGACATATTTCATATACAGTGAAACTACTTCATATCTACTTCTTCCTTTTTTATGAAACGGGAATATTTTTAACTAGATTACCAAATCCATAAGGTTGGTGTGTGTTTATGGCTACCCTGAGCTGTACATAGGAGGCCCTTTTGTTGAATGTGGCCAGTCCTTGCCTTTTACATAAGCAAGCTAAGGCTGTCACAGCTCTTGTGAAGAGTGAAAATACTGGGGTTTTGAATAGGATTTTAAGAGTTTGGCAAGTCACTCTTTCAGTTTAGAGTGGAAAATATTAATTAAGCTTTCTGTTGAGGAAAACTTTTAAGTTATTAAACCATTTTTTTCTTGGAAAAATCCTTGAAAATGTTTATCCTTGAGTTTCCCTTTTTCTATTCATACTGTCTGGATCAGCAACACAGAAAGTTGCAATATAATTTCAAAGTAAAATTGGGTATTCCTCCTTCTTAGGAAGTTAAAACAAGATATTTTGATGTGAATTACATTTCAGCATCTTAACCCAAATCTGTGTTGTCAGATTTAGTTTTTTTCCCAAAAGCCTTGACTTTTAAATATCCCTGAGTTCAAATGGGCGATAGACAAGATGAACTTACTTTGAATAAATTTTAACAACAGTTGATTTTTTTTTCCTGGAGTGAGAAGCTGACAACATGAGCAGTGCATGACAAGTACCTCATGGGGTGATGTAGGTGTTGTTTTGGGTTTTCTGGTGTACGAATGCAAGTCTTGAAGATAGAGCCGCAATATCTCAGTCATTTGATTTAGGATAGAGCTTGCTTTTGCATTAATTGGTTGTGCTTTGTATATCTTACTTTTGAAGTTTGTTTTTCTGGGGTTTTTTTCAATTGAACACTCGTAAGCTTGGAATAAGGAACCTCTCTTAAAATTTACTTTGAAGGCTGAATTTGATTGAAATACAGAGCAGCTCCTTTGTTTAAACTGGGTTGTGTTGGGTGAATACCAGCATAAATCTGGACCTCAGCTTTTGGAGAAGTCACTTGACTTCTCTTCTTTGACCTCTCATTAAAGTGGAGCCAGGGTACCTGCTCCATTAAGAAATTCCATCATGACAGTGGCGATTGAGATCCTTGACTAGAAGGTGGAAGGGAAGAATCCAGCTTCAAATCAATTTTTCTGATAGGCACGAAAGCCCGGAAATGAATGACAGCAAAAATAAAAGCAGAAAAGGGGAACTGGGAAGAACCATCATGCAACCCTGGGTTTATGCGAGCAGCTCAAGGTGCTGAGGTGATGCCGGGAAGGGTTAACTCGGCAGCAGCTGGCCACCAGCGCTCGGTCCTTATCTCACTCTTATCCTCCACTATTAACTGGCCACAATTCCAGGCCGTATCGCTTACTGCCATCTGTTTTTTCATGCGGCGCTGGTGGGAGCGCGGCCAGCGCGGGGGATTAGGGGCAGAGAGGCGGGCACGGCCTAACGCCGCCGCGGCGCGGCCCAGGCCACAGGCCCCGACAGCTGCGCAGAATTAAGCGCAAAGATAAACTGTGAAGGCACTTTCAAAGCTGCTGCGGAGGAAGGAAATGCATTTCTGCCTGCAGTTGTAATGCAGGGCTTGTGCAGAGAGAGATGAAGCATGAAGCCAAGGTGGGCAGTGGTGGGGTGGGGTTTTGGGTGGCCTTGAGCTTCCGCTGGGCCTTGGTGGTGATGTGGGCAAAGTCCCCCAGGCAAGCAAACAGCAACAAAAACATGGATATTGGGCACGTCGAATAGCAGGGGAAACCACCTCAAGCTGCTGATTAAAATACCCCTTCAATGCCGTAGAAATCACCATCTTTTGCCATAGAAATCACCATCTTTTGCCACAGACATCACCATATGGGCTCATGCTGAAATCCAGGACTGCTTCAGTGTGACCAGGGAAGGCGGCACATTTCAGTCCTGATTATCGATGCTTTGAGAAGGAACAGGACTTTTGACAAATATTAATTGACTGCAAAGCTATCTTTCTAAACTTCCCAAATGTTAGGCCATCCTGCAGTAATGCGAGAAAGGAAACATTTTCAGCATGATACCAGGGATTCAAGAATCATTACAGCTCAACAGCTGTACTTTGATTCCAAATTTTACTAAGACCAGATTAATTAAATTATTCCAAAGTACATTATACTGCCAAAATAAGGATCTCTGGTATTTATTATTTTTGGTAAATTAAATTAAGGGTAATACAGAATTTAATGTTGGAAAATTAATACTTAACTAATATTTAATATACTTTCTTAATTTTTAATTAATACACGGTAGTCAATATTATAAGGATTAACATAAATAGAAAAGAAAATCTAATTATTTAGAGCACACAAGTAAGAGAAATAACTAGAGGTGCTCTGTATTTGGAGAGCTACTCTCCCCTTTTCTATTCCTGATAAACTTGAGTAACAAATGGTGGACAGGGGAAATCACATCGTTATGCCTTTTGACTTTTTCATCATTTCAGGTCAGCTGATGCTTTTTGGATCAGGGACTGATGCAGCACTGAGACCTTAATGTGATCTGTGCTCTAGGTTTGGAGGTAGGAGGGAGTAAGTTTTGGTTGTGGGGTTTATTTTCCTCTGTAAATGCCTACAGTTTAACATAGTATTGAGAATAAGATGTACATTAGAAGCAAATTTAAGTTGATGTTGCAAGTCAGTAGTATTAATTTGACATGCAACTACCTTCTTGTTCTGTATCTAAGTAATGATAGATCATTACTGCAGACTTATCTGCCTACAATATTTTAAGCTGAAGGATGTAATAGGTTCCTAGGTCTTCACATCAACTTCCCTTCTTGCTTCTATCCTAGTTCAGGTAATTGCTGAAATAATGTGTTTATTTTTATGTTATAGAAGTACATCATTATTATTATTATTATTTCTGTGCCCAAATGGGATGCAAAGCAGTTCAGCATTTATATAGAAATGTTCAGGTAGTTTGAGAGTAACTTTTTACATCTTTGAGTATGAATGAAAGCTGATGTTGAACTATTAGGTCCCTTGAGACCCAAGGTTAATCTGCTAAGAGGAGTCATAATGTAATGGTAATATTTTCCACCTGTTGAAATCAGTTTATTAATTTTAAAACTTTGTACCTTCTTTTCTTGACTATGTAGAAATATTAGTTGTTCTTCACTTAGTAAAAAGCACACAAAGGAACACTTGCACTATATCCCTTTAGCTCCTGGTGTATGCCTCTGTCAGAATTTCTTCCAGCATGATTAAAAGATGTGAAGAGTTGAGCACAGAAAGTTATGCTATCTACACAAGGGCATGTCTCAGGCTCCTATTGTACCCAAGGCCAAAATTTAAACTCTTTAAACATTTTTTTATATTTACCTATTTGATCATTTCTCTCTTTCTATGCCTCCAGCTATGTGAGGGCTGCATTCCAGAGCTTTGCTGTACAGTGGAAACATCAAACTCATAGATGCAAGAAAGAATGTGATGGTTCATGGTCTTCCTGACAGTAATAAAATTAAAAGTTGTCCCCTCCTTCAGTGTTTCACTGGAACTTGCACTTGAAAGTGGCAGAACTTTTAAAAACTGCTCTGTGGAAAGAGCCTTTACTTAGTTGACAGTGCCGATGGGCATTGAATAAATGCAGCTAGAGGTCTCAGTCCAGGGAGGCCAGACTGAGCTGTTGGTGCTCTCTGGGTATGAGGAGAACTAATTAATGCCTGCACTGCCAAAACTAATTAACACCCACACTGCTTCCTGGGTGGCAGCATCTCACAGCCACTGGGGCTCACAGTAGAGTGGAGAAGTGGAAATGATTTGTGAGTGACTGGAGAGTTCCCTGTTCTCAGCACTCTCCTTCATGAGATGTCATTTGGGGTTGTGAAAATGGGGCTGTGGCTCCTGCAGTGACTCTGCCCAGAGTGAGTGATGGCAGCATCCAGGGGAAATCAACAGCAGCATCACATGGTCTCATTCTTTTATTATTTGTCTGTTCTCCTCAATCTCCCTGGTCCTGTAGCAAGAGAGGAATAAGTTTTCTTGCAGTGGACTCAAACCATGGAAGGTGCTGTGGTTCTGAAGGCAGTCTGTGCTGCCATAGCTCATACAGGTGGTGAGGGAGGAAAAGGGAAGCTGAAATAATCTTCTTGAATTGCCTTTCCTGGGAAGGTGCATAGGGCAGCACTGGTTGCAGGGAGAGCTTTGGTCCTTCCCCACCTCGATATCAGCCTGGTGAGGGATCTGCAGCAGACATTGAGGTGGGCTTGCTGCAGGTCCAGCCACGTGGGGCAGGGAGAAGACATCCATGCTTAACAAGGCATTGAACATTGGCCAGCCTCCCTCAGCTGTGAGGCAAGACCAGACTTCCACAGGCCATGGACCACGAAACACAATCTCTCCTTGCCCTAGGGAAGGGATCTGGTTACTTTTCCAGAGGATGACATGGACTGATGTTGCACTTTGCTAGATAGATGGGGCTGAGCTGACACCCCTGTAAATGCTTAATGCCTCTTGACTAAGGGGAGTCACTTCTAAACTGCAGAAGATGTATGGCTGTAGGCTGAAACCAATGGATTTATTTCAAATTTATCCTGTGGGCATAGAGGCACTCCAGATTGTGTTTTCTGGTAGTAGGCAAAAGAAACCTCATTCTATTTTCTCATTCTATTTTTCAAAACACTTTTGCATGATCCTTTAGATATTTAAAGCAACTCTTGAGTTTAAAAAAATATGTTCAATTTCTTTATAAATATTACTACGTTATTAAGGACATCAGAGAGCAACAGGCCTAAAATCTCAGGAATGGAAAAATTAATGTACATTTGTGAAAATTAATGGTAATAATATGGTGTAATGGGATAACTTCATCTTTTAAAGGGCTTCTCAAATTTTCATAAATTATACTTAAACAACAGACACAGCAGTTTGAATTCAATATGAAAACTGAAACTGGGTTTCAAACTGAATCTCACTCAGATTTCTTTTTAATCTTCCCCTGTAACAGACTTTCCACTTGAGGAAGAAAGTGGATGTTTTTTCGTCTGTTTTCATTTCAGTTTGGTTTGGTTTGTTGTTTTTTTTTTTTTTTTTTTTTTTTTTTTTTTTTTTGTTGTTGTTGTTGTTTGTTTTTTTGGTTTTTTTTTAATACTAATACTAACTAAAATGATGAACCTATAAAACTGATCTCAACCCAAGACCTGGAAATTATGAGGCTTTGAGTAAATCACTGCTAAGTTTAGGTCACTTTTTTATTTAGAAGTTTGTTTCTCTGTGTTTTGTGGTGTGTTTTGGTTTGGGGTTGGTTTTTGCTGTCATAGTGAGCTATGGTTGAGGTGAAATGTTAATTATATTGCATTAGAAGGCAGTTTCTTCAGCAAAGAGTTCAGAGCCAAATGCAGGGACTCTAGAGGGGGAGTGATTGGAGGCAGTGTGGAGTCTGTCCTGGATGTCTTGTTTACATGAGTCTGGTGGGGTAGGTGAGTGTAAGGTTGGAGCTGATGCCTGTGTCATTCAAGCATGTTATTCATCCCATTTTATAGCTTTTTAGATAGCTAAGTTGCTGTGTTAGAAAGAAAAGTAAATCCTTGCTGACATAAAAATAACTCTTTAACACTGAGGCTGAAAGAGAAACTATCTTTTATTCAGTGAGTGTTGACAACCTCAAGACTTTGAAATGCATGTTCATCGTCACCCACAGTAAAGAGCAGAGTACAGGTTAGACTAATCAAACCTGTTGCCATTTGTTCTGTTGAAATCAAGGCTTAACTCAAAATAAATAAATATTTATGTAAAATAAAAAGACTGTTAGAACCATTGCCTTTCAATAGGGTAAAAGGCTTCACCTGTACATCCCTAGTAAATATTCCTAATCAAATACAAGTTGGCTATGGTTTCTCTTCTAATGCCAGCATGACGTTGCATTGTTTTTCTGTGGTAGGATTGCATAACATTTGGTGATTTCTCCCATTTTCCCATGCTTACATTCTGCCTTGTGCCGTATAGTTGCAGCATGAGCAACCTCTGAGTTTCTGTGACTATCCTGATTATCCAGACTGTGTTCTACACTGCTTGTGAAGACTACCTGCCTTTAATAATACTGGAATTTCTATGTGGCTTATGGGAAATTATAACATTTGTTGCCATGGTGGTGGTTTTTGCATGAATTGACACTTTGCATGCTCTTGGCTTGATGTGCTGGGATGAAGTGATAAAGTTAAGGCAAAGGACAAGGAGTAACGGTTTTAAACTGAAATAGTGGAGACTCAAACTGGATATAAGGAAGACATTTTTTACAGTGATGAAACACTGGAACAGGTTCACCAGCGAGGTGGTAGATGCCTCATCCCTGGAAACATTCAAGGTCAGGTGGGATGGGGCTCTGAGCAACCTGATCTAGTTGAGAATGTCCCTGCTTATCACAGTGGGACTGGGCTAGATGACCTTTAATAGTCCCTTCCACCCAAAATGACTCCATGAGATAGCAGGTCCAGCACATGGATGAGAAGAATTCCCTCCACATTCTTCATCATATCTTCAAACACTTCTATTTCTAGGTGTTAATGAGAGAACAAACAATGGTATGAACCCAGAAACAGTTCTTTGCAGCTGCCATATTTGTTAGATCCTTGAAAATCCCCTCGGTACTTGGTTATTACATGCTGCACGCAGTGATACTTCAGGCAGTGCTATGGAGCAAAGCATTTCTGAAGGTCTCAGCAAAAAAGAAACCTGACAGTGGTGCTGCATGAGGAGCTGATGACTGAGAGGGTGGAGTTTTAGCACTGGAGCAAGGCTGCACAATGAACCCTCGTGTGTAAGAGCAGGGCTGGAAACAATTCATGGCAACCTTCACCCCATGAAGGAAAGCTGTGAAACAAGAATAAGTTGCTATTTTTTTCTTTAATTAAAACTTTAGGTGGTAAAACTCTCTTACATTAGTCCTTCTGAACAGATCTCAGACAAAGATCATCGTATCAGATTAAGCAGTCCAAGGAGCAGTTAACAGACAGCATGGTGAAAATGTCTGGGTTTGTGTTTTGTTAACGTTTTTAACTAAAATGGTGTCCTTTGTCATACAGCTTCTTGGCACAGAGGCAGGGAAGATAAAATGCAAACTCAAAAATCATCGAAGGTTCTGGTTTTACTGGGCCTGTACTCCACGTGGAGTTAGAAAAAAAATCCTTGGAGGACCAGAGGAGAAAGTCCATAAACCATATCTGGCTGAAGGGTGCCCTTCTGGCCCATGGCAATGCAGCTTCACCCAACGAGTGATGCAGTGTGCCATTAAAGTGAGTTTTATGCAACTGCATGTGCTGTCAATGTTACCAAGCGCTCCATAGTTTCTGGATGTTTTCTATTCTTCAGAGTAGTACAGCAGTGCCCTGAGGGACCAACAAACCCTCACTGAACATATCTTCCCAGATGGAGAGAAGGATCTTACTGTGGCTCTTGGAAAAACATTTTCAAGTTAACATTGCAAAGGGTTAAAATATTATAAATTTCAGTTTTAGGTAGTTTCGGAGTTAAACATGCCAGCAAGTTAATTATAGGCTATGCAAGACCCCTTTAAAACCTTTATCTTCTCACTGCCAACTACAGAGAGAGTTTCTAAAGTGGGATTTTCAACATTTCCTGCGTTTGTAGATGTGGACCTGGTTTTTAGTGCTTATAGTGACAAGCCCCTAGAGGCTTTCTTATTATGGAATTGGCATAGTAAATTATTTCTACCTGTATTAATTATTTCTACCTATGATCCAGTTACAAGAATATTATGAAAGAAAACACAAGTAGAAAGCCAGGGTATAGCCTGCAGGAAATGGTTAAGGAAACCCTAAATCTAAAGGGAGATTGTGCTTCCCTGTGCATTCTTGAAAAGTAGAAACTGTCATAAATAAAAAAATATAAGTTAATAAAAAGCCCCAGACAAACGGCAATCTAAAAGTATGACTGTAAGATTTAGTGGCCAACAGTTGCTCTTTTAAGAGATGTGTGGAGTTGAAGCATTTGCTTGCCCAGACAAGCAAAGTGCTGGGGATCTGCTTGTATTAGATGGTTTGACTCCCTGCCACTAATACCATTATTTATAGTGTGGCACAAGCAAAGTGACTTATTCCAACAGGCACCAAATAGGTGGCTAATATTTTTACACTCTGATGTTTCAGTAGCAAGTAACCAAAGAGGACTCACATTAGTCATGGTCATTTAAAAAAAATAAAATAATGGTCCTTCAACTCTTTCCTCTATTTCATCACTTATATAAGCAACACATTTTTGTGATTAGAGTTATAGGTTTTTTTTCCCTTCTAAAGATGTCACATAACTTTCAAAGACTCCAGTGTTCAGCTTAACAGCTGCTCTTGCTTTTTTAAACCATGGCTTCTTCATTCATAAGTAATGTAAGGGGAGTGTGTCTGTATAGCTTCTGACAAAGTATTCCCCTGACCTCTTACTGCATGGATAGGTAGGTGCCACCAGTACTTAGATACACTTTGTTTTATCCTTTTTGAAGGACAGTTTTATATTATT